TAACTCACAGGATCTTTAAATTCTTAAGTATTCTGATTAATTCCACTCTTGGCTTTCTGTTTTACTCTTCTAGCTAATCCTTAATACATTAAAGATGTGTTTATGTGATCTGTTTTGACTGTCTCTAAAAGAAGTAATGGGGAATGTGTGGGATAAGGACCCAGTAGAAGGGTATGAAGTTGAGGAGGAAGGTTTTAAGGAATTATACACAAGATGTTCCAAGTCTGGTTATGTTAAGCTTTCTTTCCCGACAGCAGAAGTATTCAAAGCTGTATCTTGTGTGTAGATCATACTGGTTCCATCAAACTTTTAACCTTGTCATCTAGATTCTTTTGTCTGAATAGATACACCTGGTTACTCCTCCTGCAACAAAGAATTTCAGGACCAGATGTGTAATAGATGCATTGCACAACAGTTCAAAAGCAGATACCAAGTATGAGAATTAAAGCAGATTTTGCTAGTCTTCAAGAACCGTGCTCTTTGGCTGGAGGGTAAAAAGACTGCATTTGCTTAGCCACAAACATACCACAGAAACCCATTCAGAAGACAGGAAACTCCTCAAGCTAAAACATTTTCAAAAGCAAAAAAAGTGAATGACAGACTTCCACTACAGATCCTACAGTACTGTAGGTAATCAAATGATAGACGTGCCTTCAAAAGCAAATCTGGTCGTGTTTGGTAGATGCACTTCCTTTAAACTGCTGTTAACCCACACTGTCTTATAGTTTATTTAGGCATTTGCAAATAATATTGTGATACATTTGAGACTGTCTATGCCAAACACTGTTGGGATACACTAGCTTTCAAACAGACGTGCTTAGAGTGCTGTGAAGCAGAGGTGGAGCAGGAGCAGAGATGCTTTCAAGACAAGCCAGATATCCTAGAACTGTTTAGGTGGTCTAACCATTCTGCTTGAGTCAAACTAATTGAACCAGGTGTTCGGTACATACTTTTTTTCATACTTTATGCCAAGATAAAATAAACTTTAGTGATATGGTTAGCTTTTTCCCCTTTTACGTTGACAGGACAACATTTGCAAGTGGAGCTAAAAAACTGGCAGGATTTGCCAGTGCAAAGAACCTCTCCACTTATATTTCTGGGAAGTGGTGGTTTAAGATACGTTGTGRACTGGGCTTTAGCAGCTTATTAGAAGCACAAATATGAGTTCTCTGTTTATTTTTAAATCCATTTGTGTTTTACAATGTACAGTATAAAAAATTAAAACATAATAGTTATTTTTCTTACTGAGAACTAATGTTGAAAAAATCTGGAATAGGAAAAAAGTCTGGAAAAGGTAATATCCCTTACAAGATATAACTGAAAGTGTAAAACAAAGCCTGTTTGGAGTTGGAATATTACATTTCAAATGAAATAAAGCCAAAGTGTAAAGAACTTTGGAGCTTGTTCTAAGTATTTTTCAGTTCATACTTAATAAAATAATATACTTTGTATTAATAATAAATATAGTAAGTAATAAAATAATATGTAGGAAATAATAAAAATACCTTGCCATGAGATGAATTATGAGATGAAGGAAGCTGTTTTTAAAGTATAAACTTACCGGAGGACAAGAATTTAACTCTGATTAAGGGTGGTTACTGCTGTCAGCAAATACCTGGTAATTCTTTCTTAAATGTTATAACCGCCTAAAAGAAATTTCAGTTCTTGAATAAAAAGCTATTCCTTAAGTCATCATGTGGCCTTCAGAGAACTTGTATTAGGCAAACATGTATTTTTATTGATTAAGGACAGTAATCAATGTTCAGAAACTGCAATCTTGCATATGGATTTCACTTAGCTGGTTAGAATCCATCAAAGATATYGCTGTTTTCACTTGGAATGTCCTCAATTTTTATGAAAGTGGATTTTTTTAAACCATGCAGGTTGGAAGGGACTTCCCTAGATTATGTAGTCCTGTCTCCTGCACAAAACAGCTCCAGTTACAGCCGATTGGTCAGGACCTTGTTCCAGTTAAGTCTGGAATATTTCCAGTGGCAGAAATCTCCCAACTTCTCAAAGGCACAATTCTAGTGGTTGATCACCTACGTGGTTTATAGACATAACTACATAGACATAGATTCATTCTTGGTATATCAGTGAGTCTTGTGCTTTGGTGCTCCCTATGCCAGATGTGGTTTCACAAGTGCAAAGTAGAGGATGAATCAGACACCTCAGTGGGCCTGCTGGTGCAGCCCAGGCTGTGGGTGGCCACCCTTGCTGCAGGGGCGCCCTGCTGACCATGTTCAGCTTGCTCTTTATCTTTACAAAAGCCTCCAGGTCGCTTTCTCCAGAGCTGCTTTCCAGTGGTTGATGCTCAGGCTAGTACTGGGTTATTCCAGYTTAGATGCAGCACTTTGCCTTACTTCTGCTGAACTTCACAAGGTTCCTGTGAGACCATTTTTCCTACCTGTCAAGGTGGTCCTTCATACAAACTGCAACTGAACATGTGGTGCTCTCTCACAATACATATAACTTTGCAATAATGCATTTAAGTGAGTTCTTTTTATGATATGAACTCAACAGCCAAAGTTAAGACTTTAAACCATTACGCCTATGATGGCAAAAAGGATGCAATCTTTCGTTCTAGTATTAGGTACAGGGGGGTTATTCTTTGATTTTTGGATAAGATTAACTATAGAATTATGAAAATAAATTCTAGAGCAATAAATAAAATTAAATTTTCAGTATTTTGTTTATTTTTAACAGTCTGATGAACAAAGTCTGGAAGATTGTGATATATTGTTTCTGTTTTCTTTTCCTATGGTTTCAACAATCAACAGGCAATTTAAGTTTTCTCTTTTTTTTCCTTCACTAATTATTCAAATTACATGTATAATGAAAAGCTAGTATTCAAGATTCCTCTTTTTTTCCCTTCTAATCTTATTGAAACGTGCATGCAGCAGTTTCTCTCATTTTCTGAACACTTCTGTTCTTCTCACTATATTCTGAACTCTTCCTTTCCACGGTACAGTTTTATTGTGATAAGACATACGGACATAAACAGCACATGCTTTTCCCACCCATTGTCCATTCATTTGTGCGCCGGAGCTTTCTTCTGTGGCTTGCACCAACCGCAGCAGCGAGGGCTGCGCTCGGATCATGTGGCCATCCCTGCTCTTGCAAGCTTAACTCCTATCTGCCTATTCAAATAGCCAGAAGCCTGGCAACAGCAGAGCTGGCTTTATTTGTTGAGTCTTGTCTAGCGGAGTGAAAGGGGCTGATGGTTCCCCCTCCCTGGGTGCATTTTTGCACATGTGGGGGTAGGGAATGAAATTATTTCTTTTGTCCTCTACTTGCAGCTCATTGAGAAGCAGGCATGCATATAAAATTCCTGTATCTCAGGGCTTACCTTTAGGGACAGGAGGTGAAAAAACATGTTTGTAAGCTTGTCTAGCAACCCTCAGGATGCTTGACAGCAGATGCAAAAGTGGAAGATAATCGAGTAATAACAACAGTCTTTTTAATTAATATAGCAAAGATTTAATTTTGTCCTTACTAAAAAAAAAAAAAAAGGCAACAAAAACTGCACTGAATGTATCAGGCTGCAATAATTAATAGTATCTTAAAATGGTGTATTTTGTGTCTCGAAACTCCAGAATATCAAAATAAAATACACTCAAAAATAGACTTTGAAAACTTAGCAAGAAAAATATATAATAAATATCCATTAATTTCTTGTTGATATTAGATTATAGCTGAACACAACTTATTTTGAGGGAACACCTTCAAGTGAAAGGGGATAAGACATAATTCTTCTGCTTCTCTGTAGATTTGCTTTAGATACAAGAAGACCAATACTAAACGGTGTTTCAGCTTTCTGGTAGTTTTAATATGTTTCGAAGTTATTTGAATGGCAGTGATTGTATTACTAATGCGTTACTCTTTTTGAAGAGTTAAAACATAAAAAATGCTCTGTGAGATATTTTTAGTACTATCTGTACTTGAATGTAGAAATTAGTAATATTCTTTTGTATGTTACACACCTGAAGATTTTGCAGGTTGGAAGAGAGAAAGAAGGTAAGAGAACACACTAGAGCTCAGATTTGGGTTCTGTAGTAATTCTTTACCTTCATACCTTCAATATAGGTATTAGTGAAGTTATCCTTTTATTAGCCTTATATTAGTAAACCAAAATCTTTTTAGTATGTATTTATATATGCCTATCCATCAATGTTCTTTAGTGTTAGCTCTATCTGTATACTGTAGGCATACTCTAGGATACTTTTCCCTGTTTCCAAAATAACACACAGTTTAATAGTTTATGCATATATTTCCAGAAGTTTTCTTCACCTGACTAAATGGCCTGGTGCAAAAATTGCATGCTGGCTTGGACATAAAATCACTAGATACAGAATTTTGTATCTTACTTGACATTGGGTATTTCTAAGAATTTCATAAATATTGATCAGTGTTTTACTTTCTTAACCTAAGAGTGAAGGCTAATTGTCATTACGTAAGAATGGCAAAATTTGCCTTTCATTATATCAGTTTGTGTTTCAGTTTGCCATTTGTTACAATCAGTTGACTAAATATAAAATCTGACTAAATCAGTTTCTAATATAGAAGAATCTGCGTAATRAAGTCTTACCAAAACTGTTTTGGAGAGAAAAAGCAGAAGAATATGTATCTTGCATTTTAAAATGAATATTCAGGAATGCTGATTTCACTCTATGCTCTTAATTGATCAAAAATGTTGGGTTTTTTATGTTGTTTTTCCTTCCTCTTTCACTGTTTTACAATATTATGCTTTACAATATTATGTCTACTCATCACTTAAGCTTTGTAGTGCTTGAGTGATGAGTAGACATCACTCCAAAATCAGTAGGCACCATTCCAAAACAAAGCCTCTCTTTAATGAATTTTGTTTCAAGAATATTCATTAATCAGAAGCAAAAGTAATTAAAAATGTTTCTCTGGACTGTTGTATCATGTGAACTTAAGTTTAAAACACTAAAGTAATTTCAAATTTATTGATGTATTTTATATTTCTTCTGTTTTAGAGCCAACATACATCACAATAGGTCCACCCACCTGTGAGGTTTTGGTGAACTGCACTTTGACTGAAAAAGACTGTATCTATAGTTTCAAACTGGATCAAAATGGTTGCCGCACTTGTCAGTGCAAAACTAGTGAGTATGCAAAAATGCAGTAGTTCATACTTTTCATTCACAGAGTCAATTAAACCATTAAAAGATCAATGTGAAGTGCTAGTATACCTGTGCTTTCTATGGTAGTTCATTTTAAAATGATTGAGTTTTGATTTCTTACGTTACTTGTTTGCTCGCTTTAAATGTATTGGAGGGAAGGCTCAAATCTCTGAATACAGGTAAAAATTAGCAGCTGGGATAAAAATAAATAAATAAAGATTTGGGACTTACCATTCCTGACAGTGTCCCTTTAAAAAAACTTRTTAAATAATTTCAACATTCCATTTTCCTCTGTATGTTAAAAAAGTTTAAAAGCACCAAATTTTGTATGCATAAAATATTTTATTGTTAAACAGCCTTTTTTTTTAACTTAACCTATTGATTATTATCATAAATGTTTGAAAATGAGAATTCTAAGGTTGTGTGTCCATGTATATGTAGAAACATATAATCCATATATGATTTCACTTTTATAATACACTTACATAATATCTACATAATACTTGAGTTAGGATGTATCCAGACCTCAGTTTAACATGTAATCTCCAAAGTCATTGTATGTTGAGAAAATTTCCTGCAAATCAGTGATGGTAGCATCCTAATCAGAAAGCATAGCAAATTTCTTTTTTCATATACTTCCTTAAGAATATTTTGTCTTTAGATGAAATATAAAGTAAGCCTTGGTCAGTTCTTAGAGTCCCCAAAAAAGAACCTGTGGTGAATTAAGTCTTTACATGAGCCTTTAACACAATGTGGCTGCTAGTCCAGCCTAGACATTAGCGGTTTAAATTCTCTTTGTCATTTATAAGGGAGCTAAAGAGCTACAATAAATCAGTGAGGTTTTCACAATAGAGGTTTTACACCTTTCCCCTTCTCTTTATTTCAGTCCATCCATTTTCAGACCCTTTCTGAACCAATATGACCATTTAGGGGTCCCTGAAGAAAACATCAAACTAACTCTAGTTGGTCCAAACTGAAGAATTTTGGGATTGGTTTGGTATGTTGCTTAAGGAGCAAGAAAAGGGGGTTGCTACATTTCTTTTTCTTGGTGTTAGTGGTGATTCTTATTTGTTTGTTTGAAGTATAGAGCAAGCAATAGTGGTCATGCGGAAAATGATAGATTTCCATAGGAACTGGATTGAAGTCCAGATGTATTTTCTATCCTTTGAAATGTGGATCTAAGTTTCCCTTAATTTGTCAAACATCTATAGCATATCTATTGTATTTCTACTGTTTAGTGGTGTATAAAGCTCTGCAACACAAGGAGGTGATGCCTTRAACGAAAATGATCATAACTGATAAGTCAAAAGGAATGAGGAATTGAAGAAAATAAAAACACGCTCTGCTAGTGTAAGGCACTTAAGTTTTTTTGCATCGGAGCTGTTACATTCATGTAACATGAGTTCTCCCTTAAAAAAAAACAATGTAGTAATGTTAAGCATTGTAATGATTGTAATGATTTAGCCTTGTAATTTGACGTCTTCTCCTTCCCCCAGCTTTGATATTTATTAAACTTTTTGACCATAAGTCACAAGGATTTTGATGCAAGCAAGAAGATGGACATAATCAGAAAATCTCAGCATCTATACTTGTGCTCAGTCTTTCCTTCCAGCTTCTTATACAGAAGGCCCATCGCTCCAAAGAATCGTTTCATTTCTCCTTGATTAGAAGTCTACTTTTACCACATCCTGGGAATATTAGTGATCTTGCTTGGATTGTTTCCGTTTGAATGCTACTTGAACTTATTCARGTTTCCAATTCTCTCTTGCTAGGCTTGCTTGAATTACTTTCTTTTTGCAGTAAGAAAACTGAATAATAATGTTTGTTTGTTATCTATTTTAAGTTAGWTAACTTGAATTGTAGATTGCTTAAAAATCTCCCAAATCATTTGGAGAGAGGAAACCTATTTTCTTAAAGAAAGTAAAATAGTAGCTTGGAAGTTTTCCCTTGAGGGATATCAGTCAAAATGAAGAAAAAGAATTATTCCATCAAACAGTGTGTCTTATTTGCCAGATTCTGAGCAAATGGAGGTGTAAGAGTCTTTTGGTTCTCTTGTAGCATAATATGTGTATTATCTGAAACTTATGTAAGACTCAGACAGATTTTGTTTAAATTAGATTGTAAGCTTCATGTTCTGTACCATGCATCTGTTCCATTCTTACTGGTTAGAGCTGCTTGAATGAGTCAGGTTAAAAGTGAGGGCGTAGGGATGCCCATATCCCTCCTGCTACCCTTTGAAGTCATCATAGCTAGAGCTAGTGTATCCTGTCATCACTGATCTCCTTCCAGGAATATTTTGGAAAGCTGTGATTTCAGTAGCTATTGTCAGATAAATATTACATTGTCTTCTGTTGCTGAGTAGTAAATCACTCTTAATTGAGATTTTATCTATCCTTATCTGCTCTTAAGAGGTACTATCCCTGTAATAATTTTGTGTTAAAGAAAAAGCTATGAAAATTTAAGGTAAYTTAGAACTTGTAACTTTGGGCCTTACTTATTTCAGTGGTGCCCAATGATAGGACAAGAGGCAACAGGCTTAAATTAGGGAGAGGGAAAAAAAATAGTAGTAGTTCTCTCTAAACATGAGAAAAAAGTAAAAAAGCRAGGATAACCAAGCACTGGAACAGGTTTCCCAGAGAGATTGTGGAACCTGTATCTGTGGAGATGTTCAAAAGTCACCTGGACAATGTGCTGTAGGTGACCCTGCTCGAGGAGGAAGGTTGGGCTAGATGGCAATCAAGAGGCATCTCCCAACCTCAACCGTTCTGTGATTCTGTGAATTGTTCTAGACTATAGACCTCTACTCCTAATGAGTTAGAAGTGGACTGCTGTGGATGACTGCAGGAATGTTTGACTTTATTATTTTTAACCTACAAAATCAAGTATAAATTGATTAAAACTGATCAAAGTTCTAATTTTTAAAAGAATTATTCTCTTCATTTGTAGAACTTACGTCTGCAATTACATGATGCTGTTGTCATTAGTTAATTCCAGAGTGATCTTGGGGTGACTGAATGGTAGAAGGCTGGAATGGGTTGTTTACCTTTGCATTACAGTGCAAAAGCAACACTACAGCATTATGTGTTCCTTGTCAAAGAAAATCATGAAGGTAGTATTCTAAAATCAGAAGTTTTGGAATATTATGTGTTTGCACATGCAAAGAGGAAGGGAGGAAGAGTCAAGAGGAGTAGAATTCCAACAAGAAATTTGGGTTTGGCAGTGTGGAACTTGGGCTAGCTATGAGACATTTGAAGGCATATTTGAAAGACAGAATTTGGAGGCATGAGAAAAGCCTACAGTAGGCAGGCAGGCAGTCTACAACTAGAAATAGTTAAAGCTGTGAAAAGATCTATGCAGTGGTCAAAAAGCCTAAAAGAAGTTTGTCAGTGACTCTGTTGATAAGACATATCTCTTAACTCTTGTATATGTTAAAATTTTAGTAATTGCACAGTTTGGGGGTTGTGTGTTTGTTTTTTAACCTTTTACTCTTATATTTCTTTCTAGCCAAAATTTGAGTATTTAATTTCTCCAATCTCTTCCTGTAAATAATCCTTGTTTGAGAAACAAAACATTTCTAAACATTACGAAGCTCTCCATAAATTGTTTGTCCATTTTGTATTAATTTTATCAAAGTTTTCTCTACATTAACCACAAAGAATACACAGAATATTCACTTCAAACAGTAAAAATATAAAAATATTTCAAATAATAAAATACAAGATTAGTAAYATTTATTTTAATAGCAATGATTTCTTGTTATTATCATGAATTAGCAACAAATTTCACAAAAATCAAAGTAAAYTTATACTACAAAATAAAAAGCTTACAGACTTGATTTTAAAAAAAGATAATTTATCCTTGCTTATTATAAGCAGAAACCATCTCATGGGTTTCTTATAAAAAAAAATAGTGGATTTGGCAGAAATAGGATTCTTGATTATCTTTTTCTTTTTGCAGATGGAGATAATTCAGAATACTTAGAAAAAAAACTCAGGGATTTCTGAAATTACAGCTTCTGAAATTACAACAATATGTTTTTCTTAATGCTTACAATGTATTTAATGAAAACAAAAAAAGAGTTTGACACATGGTCAGTTAAAAACCAGTTAAAAACAAACCAAAAAACACACAGCTTGCAGGTGTTAGAAATATGATCATTTGACCACTAACTCCATCTTAGAGATGTCCCTGCCACAAGTCCTTTTTTATGAAGTTATGTGCTATATAGGAATCCTGAAGTTGTTTAGAGTAAGTATCCAAATGGGTGATATGCCTCAACCGACTCATGAAATTAGTTTAGACAGGGTTTTCTAGCATCTCAGTGCCCAATCCCTTCGTTTTTATCCAGCTATTGTGAAGTATAAGTTCTAAAGAAAGGAGGGAGGGTTAGTGTGGATCTGTGGAGGCAATATATTCAGAGAATTCCAGTTACTGATAAGTAACCTAGTTTTCTCCTTCATAAATTTGCCTCCCCAGATCCCCACCCCTGAAGATTAACCAGCAGTAGCAATCCACACCGAGAGGACGGCTGAGGAGTGCTTATTTGTAAAGGTACTGTGAAACAGTTCTCCTGGCATGGGCTAGCCTCAGCGTCAAGAAAATAATGATGGGAAAGGTATGTAGATAGTTTTGTGTAGAAGCACTACCAGTCTTAAAAAGCAGACATCAATCTAAGCCAGCTTGCAATACTGACCTAATTCTTTCATATGTATGTATATTAATCATCTCTGGCATTTTTTATCTGCATATTAGAGAATTTAAAGAGGAAAATATTTCAGATGTTCCTCTTTATACATCTGTACATCTCTGGATGCACTTCCATGAACTTTAGACTTTCAATTCAACTCTTTACAGTATGATTAAAGGGTCCATATATAACATAATGAATAAGGAGAGGTATATGTCCCTCCTCTCAGAAGAGCTTCTGAGATTTTTTGTTATGTGCCATACATGTGTTACAAGTATTTAAGTAAGAGTTAACTAGAATTACAATACAGCTATTAGAATGGATGGACAAAATATGGTACTGATTTTAGACTTAGACATGCATTTTTTTCTGGATTCAATTGTGTCTACTGCAAAGTTTGATTTTTGAGACACATTTTATAACATTACAGATGTCCTTAGATTCATGCAAGATGGGAGTGTGAGTGCTCTAAGATCAGTAATAAATCACACGCCTGATAGTTATTTGAATTTATGACTGAAGAATTGTGATTCATTTTGAGATATTTTGCCTTTGAGATGTCACAGCTGAGAAGCAGAGATTACAGTATATCTGAAATATGGCTTGCTATAGTTCTAGGGCTACTTGTATGTGTTTCTTACTTCTGAGTGAACTCTCTAAGGCATAAGAGAGATAAATAAAAAGAAAAAAAAAAGAAAAAAAAAAAGAAAAGAGAGAGAGAGAGAGAGCTTTTCTATCCCAGGAGGTAGAATTTTGTTTCCTTGTTTGCAGGGTGGGCCCTGAACTGTAGCATAGCTCATGTCAGTATATCAACTGATCTTACACTGTTTTACCTTGGTACGTGTCTTTCTCTTCTATAGCAGTCAGACGAGGTGTTACAGTGTTTCAAGTTGCATTTTAAAACAAAATTTATTTTACTATTGGGAATAAGATGTCTAGATGAAAAGAGTTTTACAGTATCAAATGTTCTTCATGCAATAAGTTGTGCAGAGTCTCATCATATCTTGGTAATCTGAGTTCAGACAAAACTCATTCTTTAGAGACTCTTGTCTCATCCCACAGTCTGTTCCCGCTGAACACTATGATGCTTACCTGAAACTCTGTGATATTTGTTTAATTGTATTATGTGTTTACCTAACTGTGTGTTTGGGAGTGGATGAAGAAGGAGCAGGGAAGATGTATTAGACTGAGACATTCAGGATCAAATTCGTCTTTTTCAAAGGCATATTACAGGTGTCAGAATCATTCTGGGATTGTACTTTAGAATATTGGTGTCTGAACTCCTAGCTTGTCTCAGAGGTTCTTGTTTATTCCATCTGGCTATGGCTTTACACATTTTCAGTATTGCATTTCACTCCGTTATTATTTTGTAGTTCCCTAAATCCCCCTGTTTCCTYGTGCATAAGTATGTTCTGTGTTGACATTACCTCACTGGCACTTCATAAGAAAATTGAAGAGCCTGTTTCTACTTCTAGTTCAGTGATATACAGGTGCAGAACTCTTAAGAGAGAGTTTTCCATTTATATTAGCTTTTTAAAATGCTGTCCTATGATCTCCTTCAAGACTCTGTGCTTTATACCCTTGTATACCCTTGCCGTTATACCCTAGAAGCAGTTATTACTCCAGTTAGGGCTGGATATCTTCTTTGTAAATAATTTCCATGACCTGGGATATGAGTTTCCAATGAGATTTATCTAAGCAAAAGTAGAAAGAAAAGCACAAACAAGTAATCTCTCCCCCAACTTCTTTACCTTTTTCCTTAACACATTCCTGAGTTGATTGCAGTTGATGTTCACGAACTAGTTCTCTTTATTGCTTAGTGTTTCTCATTTGAAATGTAGCCAATCTGTTTTTATTTATCCCTTCAAAATGAGTTTTGACTTTAAAGCTATAGCATTAGGCTATAGGAATATTATCAGGAGGACAATTTTATTCTTACAATTTGATTCAGCATTGGAACCTTTGCCCTCCATTTTTTCATTCCTCCTTTTAGAGCTGAAAGCTATTTGAGGTATTTTTCTATTTAAAAAGAAAAAACATATTTTAAACTTCGGAAACTTTAGACTAATGTTTTTGTCATGACCATGCAATAAACATAAACTGTGTAAGTGTATATGTATACGTATGTGTGGTGGTAATTCAGTTTGAGACTGCTTCTGAAACAAAGAAAGCAAAATTTTTGCTTTCTTTGGTAACACTATATTCAGACCTGAATGTCATGTTTTGATAGCTATCCTTAACATAAAATCTAGAAAGAAGATAAAAGTACAGTAAGAAAATATGCCAACTAAAAATGATCATGTTGCTTTTATTTCTTTAGGTTTTTTTATTTTCAGCTCTTCTTTTTCCTCTGAGACATCATAATTTTTCTCACACTCACAAATTTTTCATTTGGCCCTTACTATTCCTTTATCTGTCYTTCATGAACCTGTTGCTTATGGACAGACACCTGAAACAAACATGTCGTCTCTTAGACTTCAAAAAAGAAGGTTTCCACTTAACCCTACCAATGTAATTCTGGAATTATTTACTGATCAGATCTCAGCATCAGCAGGGAAGTGTCTCAAAGCTCCCGATGGAACTTCTCTTTTGAGACCTTCCAGTGTAGGTGCACTTTCTGCTTATTCTTCATAAAAGTCATATTTAACTTCAAAAACTATGGCTTCATTCAAATTTATGTTTTTTTGAAATCGTATATAATGAACAATTTACTTGATTTTATTATCTCTATATGCTGTCAGGGAAGCTTTGTATATTGGAATTGCATAGTCCAGAAATATCTGGACTATACAAAAGCTCATAAATTATGATCTCTTCTAATTCAAGGAAAGCCTTTACTCTTCCTTTTGTCATATGCATAACCTTCTTCATCAGAAATGGGCATCAGAATTTCTTCATAATGATGTTTATAATGCAGCACTAGTAGCTACATATTGGAAAGATTTAGGTAAATCAACCTGAACTGTCATTCAAAATGAAGAGTTTGTGAAGGTGCATCTGTCTTTAAAACAAGAAACCAAGATATAGGTTGCCATCATTGTGCAAAGTTTAGATATGACTGAGGTTAAAGACAGCCTCCAAAACCTACACAAAAGGATCTAGCATTTCTTTTTCTACATTCTGAATGACAAAAAGACTTGCACACTTTTAGTGTCACAGGAAATGTGCATAAAAACACAGAGGTGGGAACCAAGATCCTCATTCTGCTTAAGCTGGGAATTGCTGATTAGGATAATAAGCCATTACTATGCCATATGTTGCATTATACCTATTTTCCTCTTAATAGCTTTGCAGGTAGAGGAAAGAATAAAACACTAAGCCCTCTGCATTAAAGAGAAGGGGGAAAAATGAAAATTATACCTGTTTTATATTGCTGAAATATCTTCCAATTATCAGCAGCCTCCTCCTGAAATTCTTAATGACTCATTAGAAAGACATATGTTGCTTTTTCATCTAAATGTAGCTAGCTTAGGAGCTTTGTAGCAGTCTTGTGGAATTGTATTCAGAACAGCAGCAGACCGTGGCTTGCCTAATGTTGCCTTCTTCTCTACTGATAGTGAGTTAGRGTGCAGGCACATATGGATGCCCTAAGTGTTTTGAGATGGCTGAATTCCTATTCTCTACTTTGACATCATTAGTGCAGCATTTCAAAGATGGAAGAGAAAGCATTTAAGTAAAGCAAGGGTTRTAACTGTCATCTTCTCTTGTCTTACCCACTTAGGAACCTGTAAGTTGCTTTCCATGGAATCAATGTTTTGGTTATGGTGCTTTTACATTAAATGTCTGGGAGCATGTAGAGTTTTGTAAGGTACTGGTATCCCTATTTTGTTAGTTTTCCTTGTCATTTGGGGGAATAGTCTTGCTTGGTAAGCTCTTTCAAGAAGAAGGAATATAAAAGGGAGGGTTGCCAAGCAGATTTGGGGTTTACCTTTCCGTTTCAGGACCGACTGGAGCAGAAAGAACAGAATGGGTCAATGTATTGACCTCTTCTTGAGTAAATCAGCTCCTAAATTTTCCGATCCCTGAAAACTGGGATAGTTATGAGTACTCTAATAAGCAGCATTTCTAGAGTGCTCTGCAGCAGCTATCCTTATGACTAGTGCTTTGTAGTGGTAGGGAGGTGTCAACTGCAGGTAAGCACTTCTGTCCTTTGGATATCACCCATCATATTCATCCCTTCAGGAATCTCAGTTCATTTCCCTCTTTTTCTGTTTTGATGTTGCTTTGGCTACTGTAATGACAGCAACTTTATTTTCCCTGTATCTTAAATCTCCTAATACAACCAAATATTTATTTCCTGATGTCCCACACCTCCACAATCAATAAACACATTTTCCATTGCAGGTTCTTTCTCGCACTTCTTTTTCCAAGGAGAACTAAAGCAAACTATCACTCTCAAAACAGTAATTTCCAGGGAGAGTGAATATAATGAACATTATTTATCAGTTGAATTAATGTTATTTATCGGTTGTCATCAGTCCAGCATGTCCCTTACTGCCATAAGAGACTAATTAAGTACARTAGGAGATTCCAAGAGACAGGTCTTAGTAAGCTCAAAACAGCTCTTTGGATGTTGTAGTTGTATATTTATTTTTTTTTATTTTTTTTAAAGTCTTAATCACCGAACAGGTGACAGCAAACAAGTAGGGTATGAAGATGGATATCCCAGGCTTTCAATTCTATTTAAAGAGAAAATAGAGTTGAAAACAACAATGCTGTATATAGGACAGAACCTTACTAAATGCGTAGAACATGTTGAAAGTATGTTATTTTGAATTTGTTACTAATGACTGACAAAGTCATAAATGTTAGACTCTTTTGCCTATGTACTTATCCGTGGAATTAATATAGAGTATTAAAGATGGTACSTCCCAAGATCTTGACCAAAGACTTGGTATAGTATTTGATTATATGTTTTGCATTATTACTGTAGAATTCTATTGAATGCTGTAAAATTAGGACAACTGGAAGGTAAGGATAATCAGCCTTAAAAGTAAAACATTTTGAGCTAAAAATGAACAAAATATTTAGTGTGCTGAAGATGCATTTTTCTGGTATAAACAGTTTTCGTGTTGTGCTAAGCTGTGTGTGTCCTTCACAGGAGAGGAGCTGTGCACTGGCCTCATATCAGGCTGTTCCTTGGACTGTTCCTTCGGTTTCCAGACTGATGCCCACAACTGTGAGATTTGCCAGTGCCGTCCACGGCCTAAGAAATGCAAACCCATAGTATGTGACAAGTACTGTCCCTTTGGATACTTGTACGTATTCTTATTCTGAAAAGATATTTAATTAATTTAATGAATATGCRAAGTCTGAATATGTGCTTGTGCTTACTTTGTGGCAAAAGCGGGAAAAATGTGAGAAGACAGAACTGTCCATATCTCTTATGAGATTATAACATTCTCCAACTAACTTTGGTTTTAGCACTGAATTTGTGGAAATGGATTTTGACCAAGAAATAAAGAAACAGCCATCATAACAGCAACAACAAATTACAAAAACAAAATAGTGTTTAGTTCTTTTCTTAAAGAGGGTGTACTACACAACATATTATATAATTTGATGACCAAAATGAAAAAGCTGCTTACAGATGCAGCTGCTCTTGCATGTAGATTTTTTTGTTGTTGCATGTACTGCTGTGATACCCCTTCATTTACTGTACTCAGATGCTTTTATAATATTTCAAGGAATGTTGATATGACAGTGCACCAGTTGGACATGTTTTAGATGGACATTTTTGATGATTACATTAGAGGATTAGTGAAAAAAACTACTGTCTCTTATTTAAGTTTCTGTAAATGTTATTAGTTATTTTTGTAGTGTTTGTTGTTAGCATATTTTCCACAAAAGGAAATATTTGCTGTATTTATTCATTTATGGAGGACCAAAATWGGACAAATGTTTTGTCAAACAAGTTTCTTTAGAATCAATTTGCTATCCTTCATATCTATTTTACAGATATTTTATTTTTGATATCTGTATTACTGCCTACTCTTCATAAGAGCTTTAATTTCTACCTCATAACAACTAAGACTTACATTATGTTCACATATAATTTGTTTTCTTCTATTTAATGCAATTTAGTCATGCTGCAACTGTTGACATTAGATAATAACACTCATTTAATTTTTGATTCATTTCAGAGTTCTGTTTGACACTAAATCATAATTGCGACAGATTTTTATTTATAATACTAATATATAGTGCAGTGCATTCACTTAATTCAAAATGTTAATGACTTTTGGAGTAATGAAAATATGGTAGAATCTGAATAATCAAAGAGATAAATGATATTTTAGAAAAATAGAAATCAAATTGTGTGTATTAGTATTCTTTAATTAGTGCTCCAGTCATAAATGATACCAGTGGGGTGCGTTTTAGGGTATTTTAATAGTATTGCCAAACGGGGCGGGTGGGAAAGAGCATGTCAGACTGCCACCTTCATTTAATCTTCATATTATTGGCTCGTCTTTCTTTGARTGAAGTAGCCCTTGTGAACCTCAGGGTCCTTTGGAGCCTCATGATTCAGTTTAGAGAATCACATATAGTGCAGGAGGTTTGGCTTGCATGCAATAGCTCCTGCTTCTGAATCAGTTTTCCACATAAGCTTATTTCTGGAATGGGCTGTTGTACTTCAGTCACTGGAGTCAGACTGCAACTCAGATTAAGGTCTTTGGGCAGGAAAAAGAAAAAAGAAAAGCTGTGATCTGGGAAGAGTGACTGTGCATTATCCTGTTTTTTTTCCTATCTTCCTTTTTGAAAAAATCTAAGTATGGTATTTAAACCAAGAAGATAACTTGCTGAACAGTAAAGGTGTGTAAGGTGTGAGGATGGAATTCAGAGCAGAAAAAGTGAGAAGCTGCAAGGTCAGAATTGAAATTAGTTATAACAAGAGACTTATTTTATGCAAAAAAAAAAAAATATATATATATATGTATATATATCAGGAGACTGGATTTGAAATGGAATAAAATGGAAAAAGTGGAAGGCAATGAAAGATTAATTTAAATTTGAAGTTTACTACATGTGAGAGCAAAAGTAAGAACTTTAAATGAAACGGTTAATAAAATTATTTTCAACCTTATTGACCATGCTGAGAGTATCTGAATGTTATTTTTAGTTTCGCTAGTAGGGGAAGGTGGAGTAGGAGGGAAGCTGCCAAAAACTGGTGACAGTTTTGTCCCTCTTTTGCTTTTGACTTTAAGGACAAGGAGGGCTGTGGCTGGTTAGAAGAATGAAAGAATCAGGAACGACCAAACAATAGTAATTGGTGATTAGAYGTCTTGTGTTTTTTTAGGTAGGATAGAGCTGCTTGCATTAAGGAACAAACGCTTTGTCCTTTAAGYACAAAGCATGCAAAAATGTTTAGAAAGTGCCCGGGAGAAATTGAAGCTTGAAATATTCAGTTGAGTGGGTGCAAAATCCAAAATGAATTGGGAATCCAAATTGGAACTGGGAATCAGAGGCAAAGAATAGTGGGATGTTTGAAACTGTAAGAACTTAGCTGTGGAAAGCACAGGGTGTAGGACTGAACTGAGAACATTAGAAAGCAGCAAAGAGGTTGGCATGAACAAAAGATCCCAAAAGGAGGAGGYAGAATGAAAGATTCATGTAACAGCAATAAAGGAGCAGAATTTGTAACTATGCTCAAGAATTTATTGGAAATTGCCATCTATTCCTTATACTTTGTAACYATTTCTCAAAGAGCACTATAATTGTTTTCATTAGCTTATAATTGATTTTAAATTTTGGCAAAGAGAGAAAAACTGAATAATGGAAATTGAAGTATGTTTTATTGCAGTTTGCGAAAAAATAGAAATATCCTYTTTGTTAATGGTACATAAAAGCATCTTGATTAGGAACTGCAGGATGTGAGTTCAGCAACTTCCAGCCTAGATCACTGAACAGCTCTGTGTTAAACTGTTAAAGACTAATGCTTAATGTCTTTCAACATTGCCTTTTTAGGCTCAGACATGAAAATAGTTTTAATAACCTCAAAAAACAAAGATCTAAATGTTCTTCTTCCATTCTAAGCAACGCTTCTCYATGACTTTTTTTTGTGGTGTAGCTAAAGCATTCAAACTGGTTTCTCATTATGGATGATTCCTTTTATTAAGTCCACTATTTCTGTTTTACCTTACTGGCAAGCACGACCTTGGATGATATGTTAAAAATCTTTTTTTTTCTGGCATCTTTCATTTGGGAAGTGCTAATAGGAATGGTTCCAAAATACGCTTATTGAAGTAATTTGMAGTTATATATCTTGTTTATGTATAAATGAAACCTAGTAGAGACCTAAATAATTCACATTGAACCTTTTTTCCCCTTTCTCTATCCCTTTCTCTATCCCTTTCTCTATCCCTTTCTCTATCCCTTTCTCTATCCCTTTCTCTATCCCTTTCTCTATCCCTTTCTCTACCCCTTTCTCTACCCCTTTCTCTACCCCTTTCTCTACCCCTTTCTCTACCCCTTTCTCTACCCCTTTCTCTACCCCTTTCTCTA